TATTTAAAATAAGATAAATAATAGAAATACAAGTCAAAAAATATTATAAAATTAAGTTAAATAACGTTTATCAAATAATTAGAAAATTTGTTAAAAATTGTTTAAGTCATGGGAGGTGTTCATGTATAAAAGAAAATTTTCCTAAGTTGTGGAAGGAGTTCACGTATAAAAGAAATTTCCTAAGTTGTGGAAGGAGTTCACGTATAAAGGAAAATTTTCCTAAGTTATTGAAGGTGTTCATGTATAGATGTCTTGTATGGAGGAGCTGCCGGAGATACATTCCTGCAGTTGTACATATATATGGGGTGGTCGGGAGCCCGACTGCCTGAAGTACTGTAGCACAATGACTAGTCCTATATTAGGGACTTATGATATTAAACTCAATGATACAAAAGCAATACTAAAGAAGGTCTCCATGATGAATTTGCATTACAATAGTAGGGTCGTGGGTTCGAACCCTATATATTAATGACTTATGAAAGTAAGGTCTATGATCCAAAAGCAATACTATAGAAGGTCTCTATGATTAATATGCATTACAATAGTAGGGTCGTGGGTTCGAATCCTATATATGAATGACTTATGAAAGTAAGGTCTATGATTCAAAAGCAATACTATAGAAGGTCTCTATGATTAATATGCATTACTATAGTAGGGTCGTGGGTTCGAATCCTATATATACATGACTTATGAAAGTAAGGTCTATGATACAAAAGCAATATTATAGGAGGTCTCCTTGATGCATAAGCATTGTATGGGGTGGTCGGGTGACTGACTGCTCCTAGTACTGTAGCAAAATGACTAGTCCTTATTAGGGACTTGAAAAGGAATATTATGGTGGCGTGTGTGCTGCTTCACGAGCAATTGGTCCGAGGTAAACTTGGACTCGCTAACCGATGTGTCCTAGACATATCATCTTAGTGCCGGTGGTAAGCGGGTTTGTTGTAGCAATACAGTTGGATTTAAAAAAGAGTCTCTCCACTGAGAGTGCAATATTAACACTCAAGCATACTGTTAGGTACTATACCAATAGGAAAACACCAATTTACGCTGCCTTCCTGGATCTGTCAAAGGCATTTGACCTAGTTAATTATGATATTCTGTGGAAGAAGCTGCGTGAAGTGGCCTTACCAAGCGAGTTGATTGAAATATTTAAATACTGGTATGGCCATCAAATAAATCAAGTCAGATGGACAGAGGCACTTTCCAAAGAGTACAGGTTAGAGTGCGGGGTTAGACAGGGTGGCCTAACTTCACCAGCGCTCTTCAACCTGTACATTAACCAGTTAATCGTTGAGCTCAGCAACGCTGGTGTCGGCTGCTCAATAGATGGGCATTTCGTTAACAGCATAAGCTATGCAGACGACATGGTGTTGCTGAGCCCATCGATTAACGCACTGAGGACATTACTTAATATTTGTGATACTTATGCTGAGACTCACGGTCTCATTTATAATGTAAAAAAAGTGAATTGTTGTTATTTCGAGCTGGATCAAAAATTGAAACGATTCCACCTGTTAAATTAAGGAACGTACAGTTAAATAGAGTGTATCAATTTAAATATCTTGGTCACGTTTTAACTGAGGATCTAACTGATGATGCGGACATAGAAAAGAAAGAAGGGCATTGGCGGTTCGCTGTAACATGCTGTCCCGTAGCTTTGCACGCTGTACAGAAGAAGTTAAGGTAACACTTTTCAAAGCCTTTTGCCAATCATTTTACACGTGCAGTCTATGGGTTAAGTACACGCCGAGAGCCTACAATGCCCTTCGGGTACATTTAATATAATAATGCCTTCAGGATGCTAATGGGGTTTCCGCGGTATTGTAGCGCTTCAGGGATGTTTACAGCGTACGGTACGGACGGTTTTCATGCCATAATTCGAAAAAGAATAGCATCCCTCATGCGCAGGGTTCGTGGAAGCTCTAATAGCATTCTGAAAGCAATATCTAATAGATTTGATTGTCCCATCCTAGGGCACTGTATGCGTATGCACTTGCATGTGCCTGGTGTCATGGGGTGCCAAAAATAAAAAAAACTAATTGTTATGAAAACTGTACGTGTAATGATTTAAGACTAACATAGGTTAAGCTAATTTACTAACATATTATGGACTATATGTGGGTCTAAAATAAATTATTATTATTATGGGGTATCTATATAGTTTTCTCATCTGGTTGGGTTCTATAAATATATAATTATAAATGAAAATGAAAAGATAAATATACATAAATATCAATAACATAAAATAAATATAAAAGTACATAAATAAATAAAAGCCCAACCAGATGGAGGCCCTCGGCAGGGGAGACCAAACGGCCGAGGGTTAGGGGGAAAGGGAAAGAAACCGGCGGACGATGCGGGCGGTATCGAGGAGCACCGCCTTCTGCAATTGAACCTGGAGCGGTCCGCCACGTAGTCCCAGCCGCCTCAGATGACCCGAGAGGCTGACTGGGATTAGCCCGTTTGCAGAGACGACTACAGGAATAATTTCGGTCGGCAGACCACCCCACATGTCGGTCACCTCGTGAGCCAGGTCCAGATATTTTGTTTGCTTGTCTGTTTCGGCTTTCACGAGGTTCTCGTCATACGGAATGGTAATGTCGACCAAAAATATCCTTGACTGTGCCCGGTCCATCAGCACAATATCAGGCTTATTCGCAAGAATAGTCCTGTCTATGATGATGGCTCGGTCCCAATAGAGCCTGGCGCGATCATTTTCGAGCACGGCTTCCGGCAAGTACTTGTAATACGGCAATTTCCGATCCACGAGACCGTATTTCAGAGCGAGCTCCTGGTGTAGAATTCTGGCTACTAGGTTGTGCCTGTGCAAGTACTCAGAGTTAGAAAGCGCCGAACAACCGGAGATAACATGCCTAAGTGACTCACCGGGATGGCGACAAGCTCGACAGATGTCGACGGTGCCATCCTTTAGGATGTATCTCCGATAGTTGTTGGTCTTAATAACCTGATCCTGTATTGCACAGACAAAACCCTCGGTTTCCCCGAAGAGATCACCAAAGCGTAGCCAGTGGAGGGAGGCTACTGTGTCTACGAAAGGCTCATGTAGAGCCTTGTAGAACCTCCCGTGGAGCTCCTTCTCCTTCCATACGGTCTCCCGGTCGGAAATGCTCTGCACTGCCGCGTTTTGCCATTGCTCGTTGGCTAAGGATAGAGGGGTAAGTCCTTTATCACAAGAAATGACGTCCTTATAGAATGGATCATCAGATCTCGCCAGGAAGTAATCACGGAGGCTGCACACTTCCGCGATTATGCATGGTGAGCGCGCACAAGAAGCCACGACCACCATGCTTCCGCGACAAGTACAGCCTCATTACCGACGATCTCGGATGATGCATCCTATGGGACGTCATGGTAGTGCGGACTTTTCTATCCAGGGCGTTAAGTTCAGTCTGAGTCCACCTGAGTATGCCAAAGGTATACATGAGGACAGGCATGACCCAGCCGTTATATGCGTGTGCCTTATTCACACCGGACAAAAGGCTGTTAAGCACTTTGGTCAAGCGTGCATAAAACACGTCGCAAACTGACTGTTTCATACCAGTCTCATCGATACCGATGTTTTGTGACATATCCAGGTATCGGTATGTTTCAGCCTCGGAAAGGGTCCTTAAGTTGACGGGCATAGATAAGTCTACGCCCTCAGAGTTAGCAACCCTTCCCCTTTCAACATGGAGGACCGCACACTTATCCGTCCCAAGCTCCATTCCAATGGAATTGCTAAATTCACAAGTGATGTTTAGCAATTCCATAAGATGGGAGCGACTGGAGGCGAATAACTTGAGGTCATCCATATAGAAAAGGTGGGTCACTTTTGTCCCTCCTTTCCGTAGCTGAAATCCCCTCCCGGAGCCCTCCAGTAAGGTACTGAGAGGGTTCAGAGAGAGGCAGAACCAGATTGGACTCAGACAATCGCCCTGGAAGATACCCCTTCTTATCCTTATGTGGTTCTCCGCAGCCATCATCCGCTCGCCCAGATGACAAAGGATCGTACTCCACTGCCCCATACACTGCTCGAGGAAGTCTCTAACTGTACAGTCTATCTTGTACAGCTCGAGGACTCTCTTTAGCCATGTATGGGGCACCGAGTCGAATGCCTTTCTGTGGTCTATCCAGGCGGCGGAGAAGTTCCGACGGTTGCATTTCACCACTTTGCCAATGACCGCGTCGATGAGGAGTGGTTCCTTGGTTCCACGACCACCGCCCCGACATCCATTTTGAGCGCGCGACATCACCTGATTTGAGTCCAGGTGACGAGTGATTCTCGCGCTCAAAATGGACGTTAGTGTCTTGTATTTGGTCGGTAGACACGTGATGGGGCGGTATTTGCTCGGGTCTGTGGTACCCTGGTCTTTAGGGACCAAATGAGTGATCCCAGTAGTGAAGAGGCTTGGGAGCGACTTCTGGTTGAGAGCCTCTTGAAACTGTCGGGCGAGCACAGAGTGACACACCATGAACCCCTTCAGCCAGTAGTGATGCAGCCCGTCAAGCCCCGGACTTTTCCAGTTCGGGGCCCTACGGACCGCTTCAGCTACGTCATCCGGCGTTATGATGACGGTGTCCATGGGCGTAATACCCGCACACTGACTCGCCACAACTTCCGTCCAAGGGCCCTCGCTGTGGTTTACGGGCTCTGACCACAGACCGCGCCAGAATGCTACAGTGTCGGCCTGATTCGGTGCTGGACCCGTTCCACTTACCATTGGTCGCTCCAATGATTCATAGAGCCTCTTCTGATCACTCTGGAAGAGACGATTCTGGTTGAACCGTGTCGACCTCTCGGTATATCGCCGAATCCGCTTTCCCCAAGCAGCGATTCTCTGCTTCAGATCATCTATGCGCTCCGTCAGTTTTGGCGTTATATCCGGCTGGGACAAACTGACATTTGTCCCAGCAAACGCCATCCTGACGGTGCGCACAATTCTTGGCCTGTTGTTGCCTGATCTGAAGCATATCAGTCTGCCGATGAGAGCTCTAGCCTATGCGATACGTTCCTCAATTCTTCTTCTCCGTGCTGGGATAGCGCTACTATGGCCAGTAGCGCGTCCAGCCGTGGAAACCTTGGCGCCTATGATACGGCAGACTGCCAGCGCGGCGCCAAAAACAATTGAGTCCGTCTCGCAAAGGTCCCGGCTGGCTTCCAAATAGGTCACCAGCATTGGGTTCAGAGCCCTCACGACAGCCCGATTCCGCTTGCTTGGGGCTATGCGGGGAAGTCGCGGTCGATTTTCGAGAGGCGTACTGCGCGTTTCCACAATCGCCTCTTCCAATGTACTCCTCATATGCTCTAATTCCAGTTCCTGGGCGACTGTTCCATCATCGTTTGAATCAACCACAACTGGGGTATTCACGGCGGCATCCACGTTTGCGGGTTGCTCTACCATTTGTGGCGCCGCATCCTCAGCCGTAGCATTCTCATCCGACGAGGGAAATGCCTCACGTCGTAGCCGTTCGAGTTCGGTGACATCAAATATATTTGAGCGCAAGATATACCGAACTCGGTCTGCCAGGTTTTGCTCTGTGACGGTTAAAGATGGCTCCAGCTCAGCAAAAAGACGATGCATCCTAGCCCGATACGCCAAACATCCAGTTTCTCCCCCTTTCGCCCTAAAATACGCCCGCAATGCGTTGCTGTTCATCTGGGTTGTCCAACGCATGCGGTGTACTCCACCAGAGGCGGGTGCCGATTGCTGGGCCCGCGAAGACCCTGCCGACACCAAGCCAGCTGGTGGGGATGATGGATGCGAGGGGCTGCTGGGTGGTCGTGCAGCACCTCGCGCTCGGCTGGCGGTTCACATGCTGCCGCGTCCAGCGCCAGCTCCAGACGCGCCCTGGCGACCTCCAGGCAGCGGCCCTTTGCGCGTTCTTCCGTATTCCATCATCCATAGTGGTGGGCGTCATTTAGCGGGAGACGCCCAGACCCGGCGCCGTTTCATATTGAGGCCATGTGCAAAAGCGGGCCTTTGCACCTTCAATTTTTGCCGAGGCACGACACTAACACCTCTTGGCAAGGTGCTGACTGACTGCGCTGACGTAGCGGTTTTGTCACATAATCGTATTATTATTATTATTATTATTAATACGGCTTTCCCGTGGACATCGCACACCCATACCGTTTGTGGGCGGCATAGTAGCGCATAGCGATGCGTCGTCTATATTTCGGATTGGGATGATGAGTGTGTTTGGTAGCACTTTTAAGTGTAACAGGCATACTCAACTTCATGTCTTAGTGCATTAGCGCTATGATACGTGGAGTTTTGTTCATTGGCGTCTTAGTGGCGTGCTACTATGATACGTTGGTGCTATTTTTTATATAACAACAATAAAAACTTTGTTGTCAAAAACGATAGGAGTCATGTGGGTGTGTTGTGAGGGGGCGCCACCCGTATGATAGTTGCATTGATGCTTACTGCTACTTGCGGTATTGCGTCTTGTGATGGATCTGCGGGTGTGCTGCACTTGATTCGACGCATTCTTGTGGTTCTGGTCGATGGAGGTATACAATTAACATCTTAGTGCCGGTGGTAAGCGGGTTTGTTGTAGCAATACGGCTTTCCCGTGGACATCGCACACCCATACCGTTTGTGGGAGACGTCGTAGCGCATAGCGATGCGTCGTCTGTCTTTCGGATTGGGATGATGAGTGTGTTTGGTAGCACTTTTAAGTGTAACAGGCATACTCAACTTCATGTCTTAGTGCATTAGTGCTATGATACGTGGAGTTTTGTTCATTGGCGTCTTAGTAGCGTGCTACTATGATACGTTGGTGATATTTTTTATATAACAACAATACAAACTTTGTTACCAAAGTCGATAGGGGTCATGTGGGTGTGTTGTGAGGGTGCGCCATCCGTATGATAGTTGCATTGATGCTTACTGCTACTTGCGGTATTGCGTCTTGTGATGGATCTGCGGGTGTGCTGCGCCTGATTCGACGCATTCCTGTGGTTCTGGTCGATGGAGGTATACAATTAACATCTAAGTGCCGATGGTAAGCGGGTTTGTTGTAGCAATACGGCTTTCCCGTGGACATCGCACACCCATACCGTTTGTGGGCGACGTCGTTGCGCATAGCGATGTGTCGTCTATCTTTCGGATTGGGATGATGAGTGTGTTTGGTAGCACTTTTAAGCGTAACAGGCATACTCAACTTCATGTCTTAGTGCATTAGCGCTATGATACGTGGAGTTTTGTTCATTGGCGTCTTAGTAGCGTGCTACTATGATACGTTGGTGATATTTTTTATATAACAACAATAAAAACTTTGTTGTCAAAAACGATAGGAGTCATGTGGGTGTGTTGTGAGGGGGCGCCATCCGTATGATCGTTGCATTGATGCTTACTGCTACTTGCGGTATTGCGTCTTGTGATGGATCTGCGGGTGTGCTGCGCCTGATTCGACGCTCTCTTGTGGTTCTGGTCGATGGAGGTATGCGGGTGGTGATGTCTGCTGGGATGTATGGGGGACCTTGGGATGGTGTAAGCCCGACGATAGTCGTATTGATGCTTGTTGCATTCTGCAGCATTGCGTCTCTGCGATGGTTGTTTGGTGGGATGCTCTTCTCAATGGAGTTCTCTGCGTCTTGGTTTGACTCACACCTAAGTAGCTTTGCCCAAGTCGGGTCCCTTCATTGCGGGGCTGCAGACTGTCTGCCCTCCACGATGTTATATATAGCAACATAATATTATATCTCGGTAAATTTCCCACCTTTGAATGATTGAAGGCAACTTGTCGGTGGGTGAGACAAACACGATCGAAAATGCATTTACTCAACGTCAGTTACACAAACCCTTTCTGATGGCGAATTATTACTCTTATCCTATAACTGCCTTCTGGCTATATCTGCCGTTGTATTGGTTGGTGGAGCATATGTGTCGACCTCATGCGGGTGGTAGCTGGCGGGAGGATCTGAGGAGACTCTCAAGGCTGCGGCCGAAAGCCGCACAACGTGGGACCCCATTCCCTTGAGGTGAGCAGTAGACTCATGACACGCTCTGCGGCTAGTAGCCGTGCTGATCATGCAATTGGTGATGATGCCATACACTTACATCACGTCTGTAGGAGCGGCGGTCTGGCAGGTGGTGGCGCTCACGGATGGTTTACTTCCGGTTGAACTTAAACGTTAAGTTGGAGAGGTCTCGTCTAATGAAGTCAACGCTCCGTCCCCCTCGTGCTCTAATCCAGAATCCCGAAACCTTTCAACTCGAGTTACAAAACCGCTTTCAGTGCCTAGAGTATTGCAATGCAGTGGACGATATGAATGATAAGCTCGTGGAAACTGTCCATGCGGTCGGAGCTAAGTTCTTCAAGACCCGCCACAGAAGAACACAAAAACTCTCCGATCACACTCTTAATCTCATGGCTGTTAGACGGGAGATGAGGCTGCAATCGTCAACAGATTTGACAGCATACAGGCAGCTGAACAGATAGATCTCCAAATGCATGCGGCGAGACTTACGCAACTTTAATACTGCTCGTATTAAAGAAGCAATCGAGCGGAACCAGGGCTCCAAAGTCTTTGCCAGAGATCTGTCTCCCAGAAGGAGCCAACTGTCAAGGCTGAAGACTGAGTGTGGCAACATCGTTTCCGGGACACCTGAGATTCTGAGTGAGATTGAGAGGTTCTATGGGCAGCTGTACACATCATCGTTGGAGCCACACGCAAGTGTGAGTAACGATCCAAGAGCAAGTCTTATCCGACACTATTCCGATGATATCCCGGACGTCAGTCTGAGCGAGATTAGAATGGCTCTCCACCACCTTAAAAACGGCAAGGCCCCGGGCGAGGATGGAATTAAAGCGGAAATTCTGAAAGCGGGTGGAACACCGGTACTTGAAGTCCTTCAGAAGCTCTTCAATTCCGTCCTCCATGGTGGCATTACTCCGGAGGCGTGGAGCAGAAGCGCGGTGATCTTGTTCTTTAAGAAAGGCGACAACGCTCTCTTGAAGAACTACAGACCGATTTCCCTTCTGAGCCGCGTCTACGTGCTGTTTTCGAGAGTCATTACGAATCGTCTCGCACGCAGACTCGACGACTTCCAGCCTACTGAACAAGCCGGTTTTCGAAAAGGCTTCAGTACCATAGACCACATACATACCCTTCGGCAAATTGTACACAAGTCCGAAGAGTACAATCTGCCACTTTGCCTGGCGTATGTGGACTACGAGAAAGCCTTTGATTCCGTCGAAATTTGGGCGGTGCTACAGTCTCTTCAGCGGTGCCTAACTGACTGGCGGTATATTGAAGGGCTGACGTGCTTGTAAAGTAGGGCTACGATAGCTGTCTGACTACAGAACCAGAGTATAACCTATCCAACTGCAGAAAGGTGTAAGACAGGGTGATGTTATATCCCCCGAAACTCTTCACCGCTGCGTTGGAAGACGTTTTCAAGCTACTGGACTGGAAAGGATACGGTATTAACATCAATGGCGAGTACATCACTCACCTTCGATTTGCCGACAATATAGTCCTTATGGCAGAATCGCTGGAGGACCTTAGCACTATGCTCAATGACCTCAATGGTGTCTCCCAACGGATAGGTCTTAAGATGAACATGGACAAAACAAAGATCATGTTTAATGTCCATGTCACACCTATGCCGGTAATTGTTGGGAGCACTATTGACATATACGTGTGTAGTACGGTCATCCAACCAGTAATAAACGAGTGTTACAAGACAGCGGTCGTTTCATTGCATTCACAAACATATCATTGGCGACGAAGAAGGAGTACCCACAATTAAAAAAAAATGGCTTATCTGGGAAATCTGCCTATTTTTGACCATAAGTCAAGTGAATGGTCAATTTTCAAAAGCAGACTAACTCAGTTTTCGAAGATAAATCGCGTCGAAGAAGTGAACAAAAGTGGAATTCTTCTCACCCATCTTACGGATGAAACGTATCGCTTGGTACGAAACTTAGCGTACCCGCAAGACTTAGAATCTCTAAGTTACTCGAATCTCGTTAAATTACTCGACGGTCATTTCAAGCCAAAAAAAATGCTCATTTGTGGATAAAGAAAAATTTTTTTGGAGCAACCAGAAATCCAGGCGAATCATTGGGAGACTGGGCAGCGCGATTGAGAGGTCTCGCAAGCAATTGTGACTTCGGCACTGCCTTGGAAACGAATTTAAGAGATCGTTTCGTCCTCGGCCTGGGCCCTGGCCCGGAGCAAGATAAGTTGTTCGAACAAGATCCGTCCACATTGACACTGTCAGTAGCTATGGAGCTAGCCGAGCAGGCGGCGTATGCCAGGCGGGCGAAGGTTATGTTGTGCACCAGCGAACATGCTCCAATTAAGGAGGAACTGGTATACCGAGCGAAATTTCAAGGTCAAGGAGACAGCGGCGCGGTTATACGGCGTCCTAATGCTGGCAGGACATCAGGAGGTCGCGACCAACCGAGAGATTTTTCTCGTTGTTCGGTCTGTGGCTTGAAGAACCACCAAAGTGATAAGTGCCGTTATAAAAGTTACAAATGTCAAAAGTGCGGTGAAAAAGGTCATTTAAAGAAAGTGTGCGATAGTATCAATAGATCGCGGATGTACCATATCGAGTCGGTAAGC